GTGTGTCTCTCTCTCTCTCTGTCTCTTTCTCTGTCTGCCTCTGTCTCGCTCTCTCTCTCTCTCTCTTTCCATGCATAGCTGTACATATGTATGAGAGAGCGCGTTTCACGGGCGCTTGCCTTGGGAGCATTCGGCGGCGCGTTTCGCACAGGGGGAGGCCCCTCCCCCCCAACACTCGGCGCCGTCGATCAGAGCCAGGGGACTCCCCTCTCCCCTAACTCTCCTCCCTCCTGAACCCCCGCCCCCCTCCCAAGAGGGGGGTGGTCCAAAACAAAACACCCCCCCCTCCCGGCGCCGGCGCCGGCGCTGGCGGCCGCCAGCAGCGCCGAGAGCGGGGACGCAACGACGATGACCAGAGGGGGCCCACGGGGGGGGGGGTCTCCAAACTCACCCGCGCCCGCGCAGGCGCCGACGCTGGCGGCGGCCAGCAACCACCACTAAAAACGCCACCACCACCAGCACCGCCACAACCCACCACAACCCACCACAACCACCATCACCACCAAAAAACACCACACCTTTACAAGCACCATCACCACCACCGCCACCACCACAACTATCACCACAAACCCACCACACCACCACCACCACCACTACCACCACATCACCACCCACCACCCACCACCAACCACCACGACTAGCACCGCTACCAGCAGCAGGAGCACCACCACCAGCAACATCACAGCCTACCACCACCACCACCACCACAAACCACCACCAATACCACCACCACCACCACCTCAACCCACAACCACAACCCACCACCACAACCCACCACACAACCACCACCACCACAGCCACCGCCACCACCACCACAACGACCCACCACCACTACCACTACCGCCACAACAACCCACCAACACTACCACCACCTCCGCCACAATCTACCACACCACCACGCCACCACCGCCACAAACACCACAACCACTACCACCACAACCACCGCCACAACCCACCACCACCACCACCACAACAAACCACCACACCACCACCACCATCACCGCCACCACCACCACCAGCACCACACCACAAACCACCGCCACCACCACCACCACCACCTAGTCCACCACCAACCCACAATCTACCACACCACAACCACCACCACCGCCACCACCTCCACCACAACGACCGACCACCACCACCACAAACCATCACCACCACCACCATCAAACCACCACCACCACAACAAACCACCACACCACCACCTCCACATCCACAACCACCGCCACCACCACCACCACAACCCATCACCACCACTACAAACCACCACACCACCACCAGCACCACCCACCACCACAACAACCGACCACCACAACAAACCACCACCACAACCACCACAACCACCACCACCGCCACCACCACCATCACAACCCACCACCACCACCACAACCACTACCACCACCACAAACCACCACGACCAACCACCACACCACTACTGCCACCACCACCACGACCTTAACCCAGCACCACCACAACTACCACCACCACCAGAAACCACCGCACCACCACCACCGCCACCACCACCACCACCACAAGCTGCCACCACAACCACCACAACAACCACCATCGCCACCACCACCAACCACCACACCACCACCGCCACCACCACCGCCACCATCACCTCCGCCACAACCACCACCACCACTTCCACCACCACCACCACAACCACCACCACCACACCCCACCACCACCACCACCACCACCTCAGAGAGGCCCCAAGGGACGCCCAAGAGGCGCCCAGGAGGCTTCATTAATGCCCTTCAGAGGCCCGCGAGAGCCCTCCGACGAGACCCCAAGAGGCATCCATTTGGACTCTGACCCAAAACCAAGGCACGGTGTCGGAGCGTCGTCGTCGTCGTCATCGTCATCGCCGTCGTCTTCGTCGACGCTCCTCGCCGCCGCCCGCCGCCGCAGGCGCCGGCCCAGAAAAGGAAGTCGTCGCCCCCGCCGCCGCCGCCACCCGCCGCCGACGCAGGCGCCGGCTCGAGGAAAGCGAGAGAGGAGAAGTAGGCGAAGGGGGGAAGGGAGGGGGGGGTCCGGTTCCAAACCCCCTCCCCCTCCAAGCGACCACAGAACGCGCTTTTTCATATGTGTACACAGAGATATAAGTACACGTCGCTACGTGGATCTGATTGCCCGATAAGAAGAGTAGGATCACGATATGCAAGTTTGTCCCTCGACTCTGTCCTTCCTGAATGCTGCATACACCTTAAACTGAACGTTGTGCAGCAACAACTATTGTGCAGCAGGCGTTGTGCGGGGGGCCAGACAGCGAGACGGGCGACGACTCCTGATCCTCCCGGAAAGACCAGGGTCTGGAGGGCAACGGAAACGGGGTGAGCACTGGAGACGCTTCCGAAAGGACTCGCCTCTAGAAGAACGAGGGAGGATGATGAGGATTTGGGAGGAGGGAGGAGGAGGACAAGCAGAGAGAAGTGAAGAGGGAGCAGATAGGAGGAGGAGGGGGGGGAGGGAGGAGGAGGAGGAGAAGGAGGAGGAGGAGGAGGAAGAGGAGGAGGAGCAGGGAGGAGGACCACGACAGCGTCGAGGGAGGGAGCATGCTGAGAGTAGGAGGAGAATGTCATGAACATGAAAACAGCGAAGAACAGAAAACAAACCGATGAGGGGCGATGACCTACAGTCACCCGAACGAAACAATTCTTCAGAAAACCCACAAGGTTCTGATGCCTTCCCCTGACCCCATCCTGGACCTCAAGGCCCCCCATTGCCTCCCTCTCTCCCGCACACTCCCCAAATTCCATTCCCTTCCACCCCGTCCTCTGTTCCGTCATCTCCCCTCCCCTCCCTTGCCACACCCCCTCCCTCCTATCCCGCTCCCTCCCCCATCCCCTCCCCTCCTCCTCCACCCTCTCCATCCTCAGCACCCCTGGCCCCGTCCCCCCTCGGGAAAGTGGCGATGCCAAACTATCCGCAACTACAGTAATAGTTCGACAAACTTCGCAACGGCACGGCCGATGTTTCCTCCTCATCTTAGTCGTCGTCGTCGTCTTCGTCTTCCTCCTCCTCCTTCTCCTTCTCGGGGAACCGCCTCGAGGGGGTCGTTCAGGTGGTTCTCGCCGCCGCCGACGAAGGAGGGCAGCCCCCTGCGACAGAGCGGTGCACACCCAGGCGACGACAGCAGGCCCAGGAACGCGGCGTTCGTTCCGAACTGGACCTGGCCAACGGAGGAGGCGGAGGAACGGAGCGGAGCGGAGCGGCGCCGATGTCGCCCAGAGGCTGTCCCGTGTAGGAAACGGCGGGTGCGCCAGGGCGCCTCAGTTGCACCTGAGAACATAAGTATATACTATGTCACTCCACTGCTCGTCACCGCAGGCAACGGTTTCCCAAATCCCATCTGTCTGACTACTCCTCACCGTCGAACCAATTGCGCCGAACCATCGCGCCAAAGGAGGAGGAGGAGGAGGAGGAGGAGGAGAAAGAGAAGGAGGAGGAGGAGGAGGCGGAGGAGGAGGAGGAGGAGGAGGAAGTGGTCAGGTACGCGTCGAGGAGGAGGAAGGAAAAATGAGGTCGTAAAGTATGCGTCGAGGGAAGGAGGAAGGAGGAAGGAGGTAGAGGAGGAAGTGGTCCACTCGTTCCGAACTGGACATGGCTAAGGAAGAGGAAGTGGCCAAGTACGTGTCGAGGAGCATACGGGAGACAATCAGGCCCCCCCCGGCAGTCATTGCCACCGCCGTGTGGCAGATGAAATGGTTGAAGGTCGTGTGTCTGCCAACCTCTGCTGCCAGCAACTCCGCTCCTCCCCTCTCATCCTCTCCTTCTTCCTCCTCCTCCTCTCCCTCCCCATGCTTCATCCACATCCTATGTTTTATCCTCCTGCTGCCCCCTCCGCCTTTTCGACCATCCGAGCTGTGCTCGAAAGGTCAGCGCGCATTCCGAGTGCCAAGGCGTGACTGCCCCCGACGTCCCCGATGCAAATTACAGCAGCAGCAGCGGCGTCTGGACACCGTCGGCAACGGGAACACAGGACAGGTGCGAAATCCGAATGCGTTTTAATAATTATGGTAGAGCCGTCCAGCAGCACCCCACCGATGCGGAAAAAGAAACCGCAGCGGCAGCGCTTCTACGTTGCCTTCGGGAGCACGCGCGCGCGGTAATCAGTTCTCGACGTCGGCATTGCTCGCAGGGGCAGTAGCGCCGACCGCAGCACCTCAATGGAGCTTCAACAAACTCGGACCAGGGCGGGCGACTTGAGACAACCGAAATTTGGGGTCCAAACGCACTAGTGTTCCGAGCTGTGTCCAGCCCTGGCGAAGAAAAGCCCCCCCCGAAGGCCAAGCGCCGTTGTCCCAACTCGCCCTCCTCCTCTGACCAACCGGAATTCCTACCGGTGCCCACATGCTTTTGACATCTTGCCCATGACACGATAAAACATGCCAATGTCGCACGGCAGCCGCAAGCCACACCTGATCACGCATCCGTGGCCCGCTGCCTCGTGGCTGTGAAGTACCATCGCGCCCCCTGTACGCGGCCGATGAAAATGTGCTGTCAAGCTGGATACAGCTGGCTTTCTGAAATCGCGCGACCGAGGAACCCGCAAATTCGTGTACATTCGGCGTGTTGATGCAACCATTACGCTGCGATTGGGAATAAATAGACGATCCTTTGCACAGCCCCTCTGGCGTCGAGAACATGCCATGTCTGCCGTGCCCTGCGAGCCTGGAGCGTGTAGAGACCACGCTCAAGAACCACCCCCTACGCACCTCCCCTTATGGTGCCAAAAACGTGCCACGCCTGACGTGCCCTGCGAGCCTGGGATATGTAGAGAGAGAGAGAGACCGCGCTCAGGGACCAACCCCTGCGCCCCCTCCCCCTCTGGTGTCGATTAAGTGCCACGCCTGCCGTGCCCTGCGAGCCTGAAGAGTATAGAGACCGCGCTCAGGGACCACCTCCTGCGGACCCCCTCCGGTGCCAGTCAACAAAGGGCCACGCTTTATGATCCTGGACCGGATAGCGCCCCCACCCCCTGCGGACCCTCTCTGGCGCCGAGAAAGTGCCACGCCTGCCCCGCTTTGCGACCCTGGCACGGATTTTTGTGGGGGGGCGTCGCTGCAGATTGCCAGGCCGTGCTCGCGAGCACGCGCGCGCGAAACCCCCAAATCCGATGCGCTCCCAGAGTGGCGCAAGCGCGGCCTGTCTGCATCTCGATGCTGGGCGGGGAAGAAGGATCGGGCTCGGCGGCGAGCCCAGGGGGGAAGTGAGAGGGTGCAGGCCTTTTCAGGAGACGGCGGCGCCTCTCAGAAGCCCTCGCGCTTTCTGATGGTCTGGAGGAGGCTGTCCAGCAGCGCCGAGTAGTCGGACAGGCCCTCCTCCGGCGGGCAGAACCTCGAGAGCACCTCGGACTGCACCTCGGCCGGCTGCCTCGCCAAGAGCTCGAAGATGCCGTCGCCGACGGGGTAGCGCCTGCAGAAGGCGGCCAGCCGCTCCCTCTCCTCATCGGCGGGCGCGGCGGCGTCGGACGCCTCTATCCGCCGCAGCGCCTCGACGGCGGCGAGCCGCGTCCGTTCCACTTCCTCTGGCGACTCGTCCTTTGGGCGGAAAGTGGGCATCATCCAGGCACCTCTGGCTGGACCGTTCCTTATCCTGTACTGAACACGCCACACCTTCGTTGCTGTCAGCCAGACGACGTATTTGACGCCGCTCTGGCGCTCCGCACGGTGGCGACCGCGCGCGCGGAGCCGCCCGACCTGGTCCTCCCTCTCGAGCTGCCGCAGCGCCTCGACGGCGGCGAGGTGCTCCCGTTCCACCTCCTTTGGCGACGACCCGTCCTTCGGGCGGAATTCAATCTGTCGCACTCGACCTTTGTCTGGGCCGTTTTTTGCGTGCCAGTGCGTGGTGCCAATGTATATGCTTCACGCCGCTCTGGCGCTTCGTTGTGCCCGCGCCGACGAGCCTGGCTGCGGCCGGAGCCAGCGCCCCGCGGCCGGGGCGGGCGGCCGCAGCGCGCAGGCGCGCCCCGCGCACCGGGGCGGGCCCCGCGGCCGGCCCGGCGAAGGCCTCCAGCAGGGCCGCGTGCCCGCACCCCGCGGCCGCCGCCAGGGCTGCGAAGACCGCGGACGCGGCCGCGCCGCGGCGGCCGCGCCGGCGGCAGAGCATGGCGCGCCACTCGGAGCGCAGCGGCGGGCCCAGCGGGCGAGCGAGCGGCGCGGGCCGGTTGCTGGATCCGCCCCAGGGTGCGTGCTCGAGCCTCTCTGGAAAGGAATAGCGCCCCCACCCCTACGCACCGTCTCTGGTGTCGATAAAGGGCCATGCCTGCCACGGTTTGCGACCCTAGCCCGGATAGTGCTCCAACCTCCTTCGGACCCCCTCTGGTGTGGAGAAAGGGCCTTGCCTGCCATGACAAGCGACTCTGGCACGGAGAGCGCCCCCACCCCTTGCGGACCCCCCCTGGTGTCGAGAAAGTGCCACGTCCGCTACCCTGTGCGACCCTGGCACAGATAGCGCACCTACCCTCTTCGCACCCCCTTGGCATTGATAAAATGCAACGCCTGCCACGCTTTGCGACCCTAGCACGGATAGCGCCCCCACCCTTTGCGCACCCCCATCTGGCGTCGAGACATGCAACGCCTGCCACGCCCTGCGCACCTGCAGTGGATAGAGACCTCACAACCTGCGCACCGCCATGTGGCGTCGAGGAAACGCTGCGCTTGCCACGCCATGTGGCCCTGCAGCAGATAGAGACCGCACCCTCTGCGCACCCGCTGTAGCGTCAAAGAGATGCCGCGCCTGTCACGCCCTGCGAGCCTGCAACGGATGAAGCCGCCACATTCTGCGCACTTCCTGTGGCGTCGAGGAAACGCCGCGACCTGCGAGCCTGCAATGGATAAAGTCCGCACGTCTTGCGCACCCCATGTGATGTCGAAGAAATGCCACGCGTGCCGCGCGCTGCGAGCCTGCAACAAATATAGACTGCACCCCCTGCGCACCCCTATGGCGTCGAGGAAACACCGCGTCTGCCGAGGCCTGAGAGCCTGAGACCGATAGGGACCGCCCACGCCGCCTTCGGACCCTCCGGCGTCGAGAAAGCGCCACGCTTGCCACACTTTGTGACCCTGGCACGGATAGCGTCCCCACCCCTTGTGGGCCCTATCTGGTGTAGAGAAAGTGCCACGCCTGCCACGCTGCGTGACACTGGCACGGATAGCGCCCCCACCCCCTGCGGACCCTCGGCGGCGCCGAAAAGTGCCACGCCTGCTTCGCTTTGCGACCCTGGCACGGATAGCGCCCCCACCCCTGCGCACCGTCTCCGGTGTCGAGAAGTGGCCACGCCCAGGCGCTGCGAGCGTGTCACAGAAATTGGCCGCGCCCAGTGTGCGTGTCTGACGTGTGTGTGGCTATGTGTGCGCGCGTGTCCATATCTGCGTCTGTATGGGTTGCGTATGTGGCTGATTTGTCTTCGGCCCTTTCTGTGTGTCTCTTAGCATGTGTGTGCGTACCTCGCTTTCCGTGGGGTAGTCTTGGCATGTCTTCGTGCCTGTCTGTTGTGTGGTGCGTGTTGCGTGCGCTGTGTATGTGTGCGCGTGTCGAATGCGAGCGCGGGTGACAAGGAGAGGGAGGAGGGGAGGTGGCTGTGAACGCGGGTGCGGCGGGGGTGGGAAGACAACCAAGAACCGACTTAGCATATGGGGAACAAACGGGATGAAGCCCGAGATCAATGGAAGAGATCAGACCACCGCCTTTCTTGCGTAGTTTGTTTTACGCTGCCCAGTCCACAGGGGTGTGCACCCTGTCCTTCTGGCCCCTGCGCGGCAAAGTTCGGGCAAGCATTTTAGCGCATGCCCTGCCAAAACTAATAAAACCGCTCACTGATCTCACTGGATATGACTGGGTCTCTGTAATTCCCTCGAAGGTGCAACCGCGAATCAAAAAAAACTGGCCGGGCAAGCCGGTGCGCACGACAAATATCAGGTCGGGCAGGCAGGTAGGCCAGGCAAATTTCGACGTCGGCGGAAGAAAAACACATGAATCACGTTGAAATCAATGCGCGTCGGGAGCCGTGGCCACACATACAGGCGATGGAAAGAAATTGGCAAAGATCGAAGCCAGCCTGTAAATGGAGAAGCCTTCATAGAAGCGATCGCAATGAAAACGGGCCGTCCCATACTCCAGATATTACGCAGACGACACCGACTGGCAAGGTGTACGAGTGAACAGTCCCACAGTCCCTGGCGCACAAATTGAAACACTTCGCCAAAACGAATGGAATCTCTTTCTGGATCGACAACCATGAAGTCGCAATCAGCCAACTCGGCAAATAAACTTGAGGATCTCCGCTCGTCTTCGGACAAGCGAATTGGACTGGATCCCGGGGAAGAAGACGACGTACAGAACGCTTCGAAAATCTGGTGCTTTGCTATAGTGTCTGACTGCATTAATATCACAATCACCCCCCTGCTTCTCTGGAGAAGCAAAGACTCGATGAGTCTCGAACAGATGGTGCACACCCAGAGATGCACAAGTATCGCGGCTTCGACCCGACAGCAGGCAGTCCATCGAAATTGAAATTTCGTGGGAAGCCAAGCCGAGACGATACTTAGTGCGGAGTGCATGACAGGCTTCGAAAACCTAGGGGAGAGGGAAAATGTGGGGACTGCTTTCAAATACATTCTGCTAGATGCAAAAGAAAACGGCACTGGCGCAGCCGTGTCTCTGCAACTTCCAACGCTAACAGGATGCTACACCAGCTGAATACGTAGCTGCCCGCGTCAACAGCGCTGGCGCTCTCAACTGCCTCAAGCGTCCAATTCATTAGATGATGCGTTGCAAGTCACCTCCTGGAGCGACTCCAATGCCACCTGAATGAATTAGCCCCGTCCCGATCGGTAGCGATCCCCTCGATGGTCGGGCTGCAATGATCCACCGACACGCGTAAACAAACTCAACGGTCTGCATCCTTCTGCCGTGCAAAACATTGGCGAACTATGCGTCGTCATCTCCACTGGTTTGGACTATCTCCGTGAAACCGTTCATGCCGAACTTCGTGTTCTCGGCGCGTAGCCCAGAATGGAGTAACGGAACGATCAATACGGATATCCCAGCACTTCCGCTGCCGATCTCATACGGCGACGGGCAAGTACATGCTGACTTTCAGCGGGTACCGTTGCTGGTCTCGGAGGTCGACCTAGTCCACCGTCTGCTGAAACAAGTTTGCGGCGACAGCACGAGTGACTGTGACTTTATGAAAATAAACTCAAATGGTGACAGATTGGCGTAGCACCCGCCAGTGGGCAACGCGTAGCCACGCGTACTGATTATCCCGCGCGCGCCAGCACTGACCTCGGGAGGCCCGACCAAGAACACCATGGGCAGCTTTTTCGCCTGCTGGCGGATAGTCGGACGATTACATTCTCCTCCACGTGGGGGCCCAACCGACGAGTTGGCCAATGAGCCCGTGCCTGACGCATCCACGAGTACCGCGACGGCGTGGATCTACTCCTGTATCTTCTGGTGTAGGATTTCCGATCGTCTGCATTTACGGTCGAGCTCTGCCGGAGCGCCAACAACGAGGCGTCGTGCTGCTGGACCGTGACGGCCACGCCCGCGACTGTCTTCTCGACCAAGATGTGGGGTCACAACTCCTGTCGGACCTCGAGCGGCTACCTTGGGCACACGCTGTCCCCCCAGGAAGGCGGGAGAGTGCCAGAATGTATCTGCGAGGTCTGTCCCCCCTGCAACACAAGGTCGGCTAACTCGTGGGAGCTTCGACTTGCGCAACCGATATTACCTTGATCGGAACAGTCCCCAAATAGCGCATGGCTGCGCGTGTCGTTCATGCGCGTCGCGTGTGTCTGCTATTCGCGTTTATGTCTATTGTTATAAGATGTGTGTGCTGCTGCTTGTGTCGCTTTCGTTTGCAACTTCCGTCTGCGATGCTGTGCTCCTGGAGTTTAGCGTCTGCTATTGTTGGTGATTGCATTTCTGCTCATTCGATACACTCGGTCACTGTCGACGGTCGCTTGATGCGCACACGTGCCAATTGTGTAGCTTCCGCCTGCAGCTGTGTCGAGACCCTTTCGGGTGTACCACTCCACTAATGCTTGGCGAGCTTCGTCATAATGTGATTGTTAACGTGGGTGAAATATACAGTGCTCGCCTGCCAATGTTGCGCTTAAGTCAATATTTAATGAACGCCTGTCATGCATGCAATCTGTCGCATTCAAAACTTGACGCATCCAATGCTTATTAGGATTCCTCCGTCGACTTAGCATGTTTCTGTTGTTGGCATGCCCTGGTGATGTCTACCTGCCATTGCCTGTGTTGGTCTGGCATTACAGCGATGCAATGTTAAAATGTCAAGTTGCCATTGCTGCCAGTGGTATTTCCGACCCGTTCCATCAGACATGGTTGTCCGTCGCTGTGGTGCCTCTTTTTGCATGCTCGTGTCGTTCGCGTGATTGTGGGCCGTGACGCCGCGTTGCCGTGACGTCCTTCATGCGTTTCTCCCGCTCCCGACTTTTCTTTTCGTATGCCAATTCCGCGGGTCAGTGGTGTCTGCCGCTCCCGCATGTGTGGCGGGCGGGCTCCTGCTGTGGATGTTCGGGGATGCTCGGGGCCGAGGCCGATGGGACACAGGGGGCGGACGGACTCCTGGGGGCGTTCGGGAATGCCCGGGGCTCGCCAAGGCTGGAGCGTCTGGTGAGGAAGCTGCTGGATGGACTGGGCAGGCACAGATCTGCTGTGCCAGGTGTCGACCTCGGTCTGGGGCATAGTGACTTCGGAGGGGGGGGACGGGGAGGAGGCGAGGAGGAGGAGGGAGAATAGAGGGAGGTTAGAGGATGCGAGGAGGAGCAGAAAAATAATAGTAATAAGGACGAGGAGGAGGAGAAGGAAAAGGCGAGGAAGATGGACGGGAAGTAGGAGGAGAAGGAGGGGAGGAGGAGCAGCAAAGGAGGCAGCAGGAGAATACGTAGAGGAGGAAGGGGGAGGAGGGAGGACGG